ATAGTGGTCCCATGTGGCAGCAGCGACCGACCCACGAATCAATTCCATTAATCTGTCAGACCCAATGACCACATCTCTGTCGGACATGGGACACCCTCCAATTCGGCTTGCGGGGCCACTGCCCGAAACACATCCCACTGTGAACGAGAGAGAGCATCGGCCATCACAATATGAACACCCGGTATGTGTACAGCCCTACAATACAAATTCAGCTCCAGACAGTGCAGAACTAGGCGCCGCATCAAGCGAACCACGGGGGGGGGGGGGAAGAAGCCGACAGTTCGTTATCACAATGGAAAACCACCCGTCTGTCCACCAGCAGGGAACCCCATACCTCCAACGCTACCAGAATAAGGAAGAGCTCCAGAAACACCAAGTTTCGAGTGAGCCCTGCTGTATGCCAGGTCTCCGGCACGAGTCAGCGCACCATTTGGAGCCCAGAATGGCCCCAAAACCAGCCGAGCCAGCCGCATCAGTAAACAGATGTAGGTCCGCATTAGAAACCTCCGGGGCCTGCCAGTACGACTTCCCATTATATGTGGCCAAAAAGGAATCCCAGACAGCCAAGTCAGCCTGCAAGGTCCGCGTAAGCCGGATAAAGTGCTGCTGGCGAACGACCCCAGATGTCGCCGCCGCCAAGCGCCTGTTAAAGATACAGATACGCCCCATGGGCAAAATCCGGCAGGCGAAATTTAATTTTCCCAGCAGAGATTGTAGGCCACACATCTTGATCTTTCGCTGCCCGAGAGCCCGTGAAACCGCTAGGCACAGATCCAGGACCTTGTCCTGGGGTAACCGACATTCCCCGGCTACTGAATCGATTTCAATGCCCAGAAAACTAAGGCACGTGACTGGACCCACCGTCTTGTCCCGAGCCAACGGAACACCGAATCGCTGAAACACTTCCCCGAGAACACGCAACAAGAGGGCACACACGTGCGAAGAGCACAGCCCAGTAAATGATGGCACTCCGGATGCACTAGAAGCAGCCTAAAAGCAGCTTCCATGTCCACCTTTGCTAGCAATGCCCGAGGCCAGCAGCCCTCACAATGCAAACCGCCGCATCGAAGGAGGCATAGGAAACCCAGCAAAGCTCTGCCGAGATGTCATCATTCACCGAACCTCCCGGGGATAAGACAAATGGTGAATTAGGCGATACTTACCACGCCCAAAGGAGAAACCCGCAAGTTAGGCATGGGTGGGGAGGAAAATGGGCTGGCCATCGGCCTGTAACAAATGGAGGAGCCTAACATGCTTTGTACTAATATTCAGTTCGAGACATTTGAAGCATTCTCCATACGAATGCTAACTACCGAACACCGGGCCACCTTGCTTCATAATTATAGATCATTTACCTCCCTGATCCATTTGTATTTTCGAATAAAGAATCCTGTGCGAAGTGCATGGGTGGCCGCCATTTCGGGACTTACACGTGTTCGCGGCCATCTTAATTCCCTTAATTCTACCGTTTGGTAGAAAGACTTAATAGCTTATGGGGATTCCAGTGAACGTTGGGTTACGCACGGAAGGCAAGCTGTTCAGGACTTCTTACGCACGAACTAAGACTGACCGCAAGGCCAGAATTCATGGAACTGTTTTCGGCTACTTTGCCCGTGCGGTCAGTCAAAACTTTCAAGCTCCATATCGCCCGAACGGCTGAACCGAATTGGCTGAATTTTGACCATGTTGGTCCCCCAGAACACACCCCCAATGGCAGTACCGCGGTACCCCGCGTGGCCCTCGTGGGCCCACTCACCCCAGGGGCCCCAGCTGCCCGCCGCCCAGATGCCACAACGGGCCTCCCACCGCCCCTGGAACGCGTTCCCACGCTGGCGGCCGGGGCGGGATTCACGGGAACCCCGCACCAGGCCTCCGGATGAAGGCCTCTTCTCAGGCCTTGAGGGGGCAGGCTGTGCCATGCATGCAGCCGCGGAAGGCCGCGTGTCTGGAGTGCCTCGAGCCCGGGCTCCTGCTCCTCAACCGGGCCCAAGGAGTGTTGTCTGGAGAGAGCCTAGCAGGCGGGCGGGAACGCCTGCCAGTGCTGGTGCGGCCCCCAGGGAGACAGCAGGGGAGCACAGGGGGTGCTCAGGGGAAGGTAGGCCGTGGGGGGGTGCCCACACCAGTAGCCATACCTCCACTAACATTTGCAAATTGCTCCCTTAGTTGCCGGCCACCATCCAGCGCTAGGATCGCCCAGGCAAACAGGAGCTGAAGGACAAGAAGAAGCTGTTTGCTGGCCCGATTCCCAAGTGGCACCTCCCCCACACTAACTCACTTTAAACCTAACCCCTCCCACACACACTTCCCAAGACACTCCCCTGCATCTATCCCCACACTCCTACATGTGCCCTTGTCCGCTTAACTGCGCGAACTCCCCAGGGCCTCTACCCTCTCAGTAAGGTAATACTTCCTGATATTATTTTTAAACCTTTGCTCCTCTTGTAACCGCAGGTGGTTCCCTTATTAACCACTGTAACGGCACCCTCAGCATAAAAGGGTTAAACCGCCGTTTAGTAGATCTTCCCTTCCCGAGACACAGGCACAGCTACTGCAGAACACCAATCCGCCGAACAGGAAACTATGTGAATGCCGTAAACAGCCGAATAGGAAAAACCATAAGAATAGGTTTACACTCCTAGCAGTTGAACTGGAACAGCATACAATAAATCCCCCCAAGAACGAGACAAGGCTCTGTTTTGAGGGTCAAGCAGTGAAAAGTCATAGCCGTGGGTTTATTTTGCTTATGTACACATTCTTACACATTAGTACCACCTACAGGGTTTTGGAAAACAACCAATAAACACATACAATACACTCAGACACTCCCACACAAAATCCTCCCCTCTGCCTGTGATACAATTACCTTACACAATGGGTAATGTAATTATCACAAGCAGAGAAATAAAATTTTTCCACATTATTCATAACTTGAAAAGTATGCATCACATTCACATAATTTTTCAGAATCAGCATACTCCAAATACAAACATATGTCAAAATCATCCAAATTGGTCCAGTGGTTCAAAAGATAGATCGTAGTCCTTTGTGACCAAAGGAAGCATGGCTTTTCTGCCCAAAACCAGTTTCACAGAGTCTTCTATCCTGGAGATAATTGGGAAGTAATCCAATTATCTCCAAAGACAGAAGCAAAACTCAATTGAACACATGGCAGAAAAAGACAATAAAACACATAAAAACATATACCTGTGCAGCCATTGCACAAAACAGGTACATTCAACATATCCCCAGATAGCTCAGATCTATTACTGAATGGCGCTCAGAGCACACACATACAGTTCAATTGCCATGGAGCCAAAGTCTTTCCCATAGTCTTTCATTATACGAATGGGCTCCATGGCATAGCTATCTGGGGTAACACCGCTCAAACAGGGCAAGCACCAAATGACCCGGCTTTCATGTCTTTGCAGGGGAAAATCAAGCCTTTTAACATGGGGCCATAATCCAAAGGCAACAGGCGAGCAACCAGGCTTCTCCAATGCAATGTGGCGAGATTGGTTTTGTCACAACCACTATAATGTCTTAAAGCATAGAACTTAGTAGGGCTAACCATACAGATATCTTAGCCATAATTTTATATAGTTAGTAAGAGATCCTCTATTTAACATATATAAATAATTGAGAATACAATATAAAATAAGGATTGTCTTGGAAGCAATAGTTTTGTCTTTTTGGATATTTATTATATAAAAATATAAATATAAAATCCATTATAGCAGAGTTTATAAGATTAAATTACATGCTTGCAAATATCATTAATAGGTTAACATACCCTTCTGAACATGTCATCATGTCAGCCTCTCTGTCATTTTAAGATGGAGCAGCGTCTGTCTCCAAGTCTCTCCTCTGTGTCTTAACATTTAAAAGTACACCTATTTATACCTTAGGTGTCGTCATTTTAGGGTCAATGTAGTTCATATATGAAAAAGTAACTTATTTTACTTTATTCATTTTAGGACCTCCCTTATCTTGGCAAACATACAAGGCCATAACTAAAGGATGCATACGTCATGGACATTTTCCTGACTTAGTTCAAGATGGCATCTTAAAATCTGGACATACTTATCTACTTAGGGTTACCACAGTATATTGTGTACTAAAAGAGTCGTAGTATAGCCTTGAAGCTTGTTTATGCATTATTGTTATTGTATTTTGTCTGGGACAAAATGGTGCAAACATATTATGCACTGAGGTTATTGCTTAAAGAAACATCTATGAAAAACAATATGTTCAATTTCTAACACCTTGTCAGTTTGCAATATATCTTAAAGACAAAGTACACAGTTTAAGAAATACAACATTTCATTGTAAAACTTGTAATATTTGCATTTGCCCATAACACTCTAATTTAAGACTATGTTCTCTTGTTGTGGTAGTTTTCTTCTTTTATATATAGTCTCCTCCTTTACTGTGTTGATTCCCTTTATATATTTAAATGCTTCTATCATATCCCCCCTGTCTCGTCTTTCCTCCAAACTATACATGGTAAGATCCTTTAACCTTTCCTGGTAAGTTTTATCCTGCAATCCATGAACCAGTTTAGTAGCCCTTCTCTGAATTCTCTAAAGCATGGATTAGAGTACTTGTAGAATAGGAGAAAGAAGGAGCAGAGTATTTGTAGAATAGGAGAAAGAAGGAGCAGAGTCCTTGTAAAAAAGGAGAAAGAAGGGGCAGAGTATTTGTAGAATAGGAGAAAGAAGGAGCAGAGTACTTGTAGAATAGGAGAAAGAAGGAGCAGAGTGTTTTTAGAATAGGAAAAAGAAGGAGCAGAGTACTTGTAGGATAGGAGAAAGAAGGAGCAGAGTATTTGTAAAAAGGGAGAAAGAAGGAGCAGAGTACTTGTAAAAAAAAAGAGAAAGAAGGAGCAAAGTACTTGTAGAATAGGAGAAAGAAGGAGCAGAGTACTTGTAGAATAGGAGAAAGAAGGAGCAGAGTACTTGTAAGAAAGGAGAAAGAAGGTGCAGAGTATTTGTAGAATGGGGGAAAGAAGGAGCAGAGTACTTGTAAAAAAGGAGAAAGAAGGAATAGTGTATTTGTAGGATAGGAGAATGAAGGAGCGGAGTATTTGTAAGAAATCAGAAAGAAGGAGCAGAGTATTTGTAGAATAGGAGAAAGAAGGAGCAGAGTATTTGTAGAATAGGAGAAAGAAGGAGCAGAGTATTTGTAGAATAGGAGAAAGAAGGAGCAGAGTACTTGTAAAAAAGGAGAAAGAAGGAGCAGAGTCCTCGTAGAATAGGAGAAAGAAGGAGCAGAGTACTTGTAAAAAGGAGAAAGAATGAGCATAGTATTTGTAGAATAAGAGAAAGAAGGAGCAGAGTACTTGTAGAATAGGAGAAAGAAGGAGCAGATTACTTGTAAAAAAAGGAGAAAGAATGACCAGAGTACTTGTAGAATAGGAGAAAGAAGGAGCAGAGTATTTGTAGAATAGGAGAAAGAAGGAGCAGAGTACTTGTAAGAAAGGAGAAAGAAGGAGCAGAGTATTTGTAAGAAATCAGAAAGAAGGAGCAGAGTATTTGTAGAATAGGAGAAAGAAGGAGCAGAGTACTTGTAGAATAGGAGAAAGAAGGAGCAGAGTACTTGTAAAAAAGGAGAAAGAAGGAGCAGAGTACTTGTAGAATAGGAGAAAGAAGGAGCAGAGTCCTTGTAGAATATGAGAAAGAAGGAGCAGAGTACTGTAAGAAAGGAGAAAGAAGGTGCAGATTATTTGTAGAATGGGAGAAAGAAGGAGCAGCAATTGAAAAAGGAGAAAGAAGGAGCAGAGTACTTGTAAAAAAGGAGAAAGAAGGAGCAGAGTATTGAAGAATAGGAGAAAGAAGGAGCAGAATATTTGTAGAATAGGAGAAAGAAGGAGCAGAGTATTGTAGAATAGGAGAAAGAAGGAGCAGAGTACTTGTAGAATAGGAGAAAGAAGGAGCAGAGTACTTGTAAAAAAGGAGAAATAAGGAGCAGAGTACTTGTAGAATAGGAGAAAGAAGGAGCAGAGTACTTGTAAGAATGGAGAAAGAAGGTGCAGAGTATTTGTAGAATGGGGGAAAGAAGGAGCAGAGTACTTGTAAAAAAGGAGAAAGAAGGAGCAGAGTACTTGTAAAAAAGGAGAAAGAAGGAATAGTGTATTTGTAGGATAGGAGAATGAAGGAGCCGAGTATTTGTAAGAAATCAGTAAGAAGGAGCAGAGTATTTGTAGAATAGGAGAAAGAAGGAGCAGAGTCCTTGTAGAATAGGAGAAAGAAGGAGCAGAGTATGTGTAAAAAAGGAGAAAGAAGGAGCAGAGTACTTGTAAGAAAGGAGAAAGAAGGAGCAGAGTATTTGTAAGAAATCAGAAAGAAGGAGCAGAGTATTTGTAGAATAGGAGAAAGAAGGAGCAGAGTCCTTGTAGAATAGGAGAAAGAAGGAGCAGAGTCCTTGTAAAAAAGGAGAAAGAAGGAGCAGAGTACTTGTAATAAAGGAGAAAGAAGGAGCAGAGTATTTGTAGAATAGGAGAAAGAAGGAGCAGAATACTTGTAAGAAAGGAGAAAGAAGGAGCAGAGTACTTGTAGAATAGGAGAAAGAAGGAGCAGAGTATTTGTAGAATAGGAGAAAGAAGGAACAGAGTACTTGTAAAAAAGGAGAAAGAAGGAGCAGAGTACTTGTAGAATAGGAGAAAGAAGGAGCAGAGTACTTGTAGAATATGAGAAAGAAGGAGCAGAGTATTTGTAGAATGGGGGAAAGAAGGAGCAGAGTATTTGTAGAATGGGAGAAAGAAGGAGCAGAGTACTTGTAGAATAGGAGAAAGAAGGAGCAGAGTACTTGTAAGAAAGGAGAAATAAGGAGCAGAGTACTTGTAGAATAGGAGAAAGAAGGAGCAGAGTATTTGTAGAATAGGAGAAAGAAGGAGCAGAGTACTTGTAAGAAAGGAGAAAGAAGGTGCAGAGTATTTGTAGAATGGGGGAAAGAAGGAGCAGAGTACTTGTAAAAAAGGAGAAAGAAGGAATAGTGTATTTGTAGGAAAGGAGAATGAAGGAGCCGAGTATTTGTAGAATAGGAGAAAGAAGGAGCAGAGTACTTGTAAGAAAGGAGAAAGAAGGTGCAGAGTATTTGTAGAATGGGGGAAAGAAGGAGCAGAGTACTTGTAAGAAAGGAGAAAGAAGGAGCAGAGTATTTGTAAGAAATCAGAAAGAAGGAGCAGAGTATTTGTAGAATAGGAGAAAGAAGGAGCAGAGTCCTTGTAGAATAGGAGAAAGAAGGAGCAGAGTACTTGTAATAAAGGAGAAAGAAGGAGCAGAGTACTTGTAAGAAAGGAGAAAGAAGGAGCAGAGTACTTGTAGAATAGGAGAAAGAAGGAGCAGAGTATTTGTAGAATAGGAGAAAGAAGGAACAGAGTACTTGTAAAAAAGGAGAAAGAAGGAGCAGAGTACTTGTAGAATAGGAGAAAGAAGGAGCAGAGTCCTTGTAGAATATGAGAAAGAAGGAGCAGAGTATTTGTAGAATGGGGGAAAGAAGGAGCAGAATACTTGTAAAAAAGGAGAAAGAAGGAATAGTGTATTTGTTGGATAGGAGAATGAAGGAGCCGAGTATTTGTAAGAAATCAGAAAGAAGGAGCAGAGTATTTGTAGAATGGGGGAAAGAAGGAGCAGAATACTTGTAAAAAAGGAGAAAGAAGGAATAGTGTATTTGTTGGATAGGAGAATGAAGGAGCCGAGTATTTGTAAGAAATCAGAAAGAAGGAGCAGAGTATTTGTAGAATATGAGAAAGACGGAGCAGAGTCCTTGTAGAATAGGAGAAAGAAGGAGCAGAGTATGTGTAAAAAAGGAGAAAGAAGGAGCAGAGTACTTGTAAGAAAGGAGAAAGAAGGAGCAGAGTATTTGTAGAATGGGAGAAAGAAGGAGCAGAGTACTTGTAGAATAGGAGAAAGAAGGAGCAGAGTATTTGTAGAATAGGAGAATGAAGGAGCAGAGTACTTGTAAAAAAGGAGAAAGAAGGAGCAGAGTCCTCGTAGAATAGGAGAAAGAAGGAGCAGAGTACTTGTAAAAAGGAGAAAGAATGAGCATTGTATTTGTAGAATAAGAGAAAGAAGGAGTAGAGTACTTGTAAAATAGGAGAAAGAAGGAGCAGACTACTTTTAAAAAAAGGAGAAAGAATGACCAGAGTACTTGTAAGAAAGGAGAAAGAAGGAGCAGAGTACTTGTAGAATAGGAGAAAGAAGGAGCAGAGTATTTGTAAAAAAGGAGAAAGAAGGAGCAGAGTACTTGTAAAAAAGGAGAAATAAGGAGCAGAGTATTTGTAGAATAGGAGAAAAAAGGAAGAAGAGTATTTGTAATATAGGAGAAAGAAAGAGCAGAGTACTTGTAGAATATGAGAAAGAAGGAGCAGATTACTTGTAAAAAAGGAGAAAGAAGGAGCAGAGTACTTGTAAAAAAGGAGAAAGAAGGAGCAGAGTATTTGTAAGAAATCAGAAAGAATGAGCAGAGTATTTGTAGAATAGGAGAAAGAAGGAAAATAAAAAATATAAAAAGGAAAAGGAGAGAATTGTTGTTGGCTAATAATAGTAAGTGGGCTACCTAGCTCAGCCCTCCTACTGGGCATTGCTATAAGGAAGGTAAAACAATAGAAAAAAGGAAAAAAAAGGGGGGGGGTAGCTGATGCACAGATGAGAAATCATATTATGGGCAAACAGAGAGGTCGTCTGAATATCACCGAAAGAGGAGACCTTTGTTTGCTCCTTACGAAAATCGAACCAGATATCAAATATTTAGTCTCGCAGCATAAGCCTCAAGGATCTCATTAATCACTAGTAAATGTAATTTCAATTTACTTTATTGTTTTCTCATTAAACTTTATATAGGTTAAAAACATTAGAAACATGCATAAAGTAGAAATAAAAAGATATATTTTTCTATTTTTTTTTTAAAACACCCTCCTTTCTAAAAAATATTCTGAACTTGCGCGAAAACTGGTGGGCGGTAAGGAATTTTTTCCATCAAGAAAGATGCATTAGTGGGCGGTAGGTAGAAAAAGGTTGGCTACCCCTGCTCTAAAGTATCAATATGCTTCTGAAAATACGGTCTCCAGTACTGCGTACAATACTCCAAGTGAGGTCTCACCAGTGTTCTGTACAATGGCATGAGCACTTCCCTCTTTCTACTGCTAATACCTCTCCCTATACAACCAAGCATTCTGCTAGCAATTCCTGCTGCTCTATTACATTGTCTGCCTACCTTTAAGTCATCAGAAATAATCACCCCTAAATCCCTTTCCTCATATGTTGAGGTTAGGACTCTATCAAATATTCTGTACTCTGCCCTTGGGTTTTTACGTCCAAGATGCATACAGAACACAATACCTCCCCTTTGCTTGGGAGATAATTGAGTAAAGTCCTGTAAGTAACTCAATTATCTCCAGGCAAAAAAACACCTTTTCACAAAGTTCAGAAAGTACCCCAAAATACAACACATCCCCATATAGCCCCGATTTGGGTGAACAACATATCCAAATATCACCCAGATCGGTTCAAGGGTTCAGGAATTTCCTGGAAGTCATAGTTTTGACCGACTGAAAGCATGGCCCCATGCCTAAAACAGTTCCATGGAAATCAGTGCTAACAGTCGGTCAAGTTTGGTAGTCTTTTACAGGTTTCCCTGCAGGGCCCATAGTCTGTGGGCATGAGGCTGGCAAGCAGGCTCCTCCAGGAGCTTGAGGCAAACTCACTTGAAAAGGGAAGTTTGTCACAGTTCTGAAAATGCAGGTTCCAGGGTTGGGTGTACTGTTCCCTTAAATGCCAATACATCGTTCTGCACCTCCTGAACAGTCTGGAACAGATTGGTCACTTGCTGAGCAAGAGAGGTGAACAGCTTGTATATCTCTGCGGACTCCATGGTCAGTTCATTATGTCAGGATCTTACCTGATATGGAGTCCGGTATGCAGAGATATATGATCACCCTTGCAATTAAACACAGGCCAAGGTGGTCAGGTAAAAATTCACCTGGCCTGTGAGTCTGTGCACGGGGGCTGTGCAGGATATTGCTCCAAGTTGCAGTACAGGTAAGGACACAGGCAGGAGATTCATTGAGGGTAAGCCAAAAGTCAGAGGATGCCAGAGGTCATTACACACGATAAGAAAAAGCCAAGGTCAGGAGCCGACTGGAGAACACTGGATCACGAATACAAACACAGGAACCAGAGTCAATGAACTGACACTGCCCTCAGAGAGAG